CGTCATACCGGTATACACCTTCGGGTTGTTTTTATAACTTAAAGGGAATTGTGAAGGAAGGTGCTTTGGCTGCAAGACTTTAGGAGTCTTGGAGCCTGACTTTCTATAAGGTGGAGCATGCGGAACACCTCCAGATGTACTTATGTTTCGAGAGGAGTTTTTCGTAACAAGTGATGGTTTGTTGGCATTCTTACTCTCAGCAGGCTTATTGAATACAAAGTATTCTTCCCCATCATTAGTCTCAACCCTGCGAAATTTGTTCATCGTGGTGAGGTTACTACGTTTGGGGGGAAATTTCTTAGAACAACTTGCAGAAGTTCTAGTCATTTTAACATCTTTCGATGAGGCTTTGTTTACAGGGGTACTGGTATCTAAATCAGTTCCTAGTTCCATTGGCAGGTGTGGTTGTTGTGTAGTTTGCTGAATGCTAGTTTCAGCACTAGGTGTCTGTTGCTGTGCACGATCCTTATTTGGTAAATCAAAGCTAGAGCTAGAGGAGGTGACCAGGTTATTACTACGCATTATTCTGCGCTGACACGGTGTTTTATCCTGAGCTACGGTTATAGACTTATAACTGCTATTCAGTCTTAAGTGATCCTGACATTTAGTAAACTTACTAGCATCAAGGGAATTACTGAATTTAAAAATGATTGGGCAATTAGCCTGGTTAGACTTTTTACGAAGTCGTTTGCATTCACATGGAACACTAGCCATGCCGCAACAAATCAGGATTTTGTGTCTTACAGTTTTCAGGGGCAGAGAATCTGGGACGTTGTAAACTATAGCTTGGTGAGAAGAGGTTATACGCTTCATCACCTCCGTAGCCAAGCAGTCAATCAGATTTTCAGCTTTATTTAGGTTGTCTGGAGATATTTTAGGATGCCTTTCTAAAAGACAGGCTATTGGGTCTAAATTCAAAAGCTTATTTTGAGTTACATCCAGTAAACACTTAACCTGGCCAATATCAGAACGGCTCTCCGTGGTATTTGAGATTGGCAGTGACATACTATCAAACTGATCTAATTTTTTCTGAATTTCACTTACTTGCCTCTGCATATCTTTCAAAAGGAGGTTTAGTTTACAGAACTCAGAGTTCTCTAACAGAACATCTTTCACCTGTATCACAGGAGTGAGATCTGCACTCAAACCATTTTGAGAGCTAGTAGTTGATACTGTATTACGAGGCGGTAATGCAGTTATAACCGAATTTAAGCCACTATCTAAAACAATTGTGTTTCTACGAACACGTTTTTTAGAGATTTGGACCATAATTTCAAGAATTATATGACAATAAGCAGTAAATAAATTTCAGAGCAAACACGTGCAAAAATGTCACCAATTTCGAACGTACCGCCAAGCTTGGATGGGAAACCCGGTGTTTATGGTCTCTGTGGGATAATCTGAAAATTGTCGATGACATCCTCTACTACCAACATGGACCCACTTATACTCGTCGCGTTGTGGCTCCACAGTCGGCACTACCCACAGTACTATTGTCATTACACCAGCAGTTAGGCCACGCGGGCTCAGGGAAAATGATTGAAGCGGCTAAAAGACGTTATTGGTGGCCTCACCAGAGGGAAGACATCATAGATTTCTGTGACTCCTGCGAGGTATGCCAAACTATTAAGGCTCCGCACAAATATAATAAGGCACCCTTAGAACCCATTATAACTGGCCATCCGAATGACTTAGTACAAATAGACTTGGTTGGACCTCTCCCAGTAACTTCCAGAAATAATAACTATATTTTAGTCATGGTAGACCATTTTACCAAATGGTGCGAGGCTATTGTGATACCACAGATTGATGCTGTAACCATCACAGAGTCAATTTTTGACCACTGGGTCAGCCGTTGGGGGGCACCACTTCAACTGCATTCAGATCGAGGATCCAACTTTGAAAGTATCGTTGTCAGCGAACTCTGTCGTATAATGGGTATCCGGAAGACACGCACTACCGCGTACCACCCACAGGGAAATGGCTTGGTTGAACGCACCAATCGGACACTTGAATCCCTCCTGCAGGCATTTGTAGATCAAAACAACCCCAGGGAATGGGACCGATCACTCTCACAGTGCTTAATGGCATACAGAGCAAGCATTCACAAAGCTACGCGTCAAACGCCTCATTATATGGTCACTGGAAGAGAACTCCGGTTGCCAATCGATCTGACTTCAAACACACTAGGAGAGGATACACTGATTGCATCCGAACACGTAATCAGACTTCGACGAAACTTGAACAAGGTACATCAGATGACTAGGGATATACTCCAAACAAACCAGAGATACCAGAAAGAATACTATGATAGGATAGCACATGGATCACCAGTGGAGCCAGGAGACAAGGTGATGCTACTTAAGGAGGCACCACCTAAAGGGAAAGCTCTTAAATCCCATAAACGCTGGGAAGGACCATTCACTGTAGTAGAGGTACTAAGTGACTGCACCTGTAGGATTCAGGAACCGAATTCCTCTCATAGTCTAGTCACACACTTCAATAGACTAAAACCTTTTCGACAACAGGCCTTAGTTCAGACAAGTCCCGCAGGAACAGTCACCTAGCACTGCGGACAGTGCTCCTATGGGAGAGGGGGTAGTGTAAGGCATGGTAAGTTTGGCGGTTTTCTAATGTTCAAACTATGCTTGTCTACTTTCAGGTTGGCTGCGAAGTATACAGGGATTGGTTACCCAAGACGAGGCAACGGATGACCAATAGGAGTGCCCCTTCCCTCTTATCTAATTGTATTGCGATTGGTTGTAAATATAATACTTGACCTTGAGTCTTCGTTCTTACTAGCACGCAACACTTGTGTGATCACGCTGCTAACGTGCGCTTTGCTCTCTGTTTCAGATCATTGCTTGACGAGTGGGATTACACTACTGCTTCAATACATATTCGTAATCTTCACAAGTGCCTTTTGATTTACGTTGTGGGCGTCGAGTAGCCACAACGTATGCGCACATCAATAAGAACGAAGAAATACATAGAATATATGTGCACAGCAGTTTAGTCAGACAACGCACGCAATAAAAATTGGTGAGCCCGACGACCAATTTCGACAGCGACGACAAATTGGTGTCCTCAACGATAACTTGTTCACTGCGACGATCACTTGTTGACTCCAACGACATTTTGTTCACCCGGACGCATCATTACACTTGCTGGATTAATTAAACTCTAACTTTATCGGATATATATACATATAATAGACATTTCGAGCTCATTCTTGTGCTTTCTCATCGCACAACTTGCAGTAATCTGTGGTAAGCATCTGCATTGCATGTTTTTCTGTTTTACCATATTCTTAGTGTGCATTATTCTTGCTATTTTGTTACTGTTAAACCATTTTTCTACGAATTGTATCATGTCTTCCAATACCTCTGATGACTTAGAGCTGGGATCTGTTAGTACCATTTCTCTTACTGTACCAGTTTTTAGGCCCAGAGACCCTCATCTTTGGTTTGCACGACTGGAAAATTATTTCACTGCCAATAAGCTCACGTCACAGACGGCTAAATTTGGCATATTGAGTACAGTACTACCAGACGAAATCGCCGAACAGGTTCGACAATGCATCGTTCAGCCCAGCACAGACGCTCCTTACGACAAGTTGAAAGAAGAAGTACTTCGATGCACTTCACTTTCTGATAGGCAAACACTCGATCGTTTGTTAAGCAATGTAGAGCTAGGTGATAAAACCCCATCACAACTCATGAGGCACATGCAAAGCCTAGTAGCAGGGAGAGATATCGACAAACATATCTTTTACCAAATTTGGTTGCGACGACTTCCTGCAAACATTCAACAAGTTCTTGCTTACGGAGACGACGACATTGACATGGAAAAGCTTGCCAAAATCGCAGATCGCATGTACGAGAGGTCAACACCTCAATCTGTTGCTTCCACTAGCAGAATGCCAGACACTGACGACAGGATACAGGCTCTAGAACACAAAGTCGACACCTTACTGAGTCAGTTAGCAGCACTGACCACACACACACGACCAAGCCGTTCTAGAAGCTCGTCTCGTCGACGTCTTTCTCGGTCACCCAGCACGTCACGACATCACGATACTATTTGCTGGTACCACCGTAGTTACGGAGACAATGCACGACGGTGTCGTTCACCTTGCAACTTTCAGGCTAAACCAAAAGATATATCGTCATGTATGAAAACTTCTACTGTTGGCAATCTACGATCTAGCAGTCGTTTGTTTTATGTAACAGATAGAAATACCGGTACTACGTTCTTAGTCGACACAGGAGCAGAGGTTAGTGTTCTCCCTCCGTCTACGCAGGAACGTCAACATCCTGACCCTGCAGTTACGCTCCAAGCCGTTAATAAGTCTAATATTGTTACATATGGTAGTAAACGAATGACTTTAGATTTTGGTCTGCAGAATACCTACACTTGGTCTTTCATCATCGCAGACGTTCCATCCCCAATCCTTGGTATAGATTTTCTACAGCAACACAAACTGCTGGTTGATCCGGTTAGCCCTAAGCTTATAGACTCGCTCAATAAAAGGTACATCGCTGGTACGATTAGCCGTGCATCATCGCTGAACTTGATGGTCACACGCACACCAGCATCTCCATATACTGACTTAGTAAATCAGTTCCCTGACCTTCTACAACCCTCTTTCCGAGCAACAGAACTAAAGCATCAAGTGGTTCATCACATTAAAACCACTGGACCACCAGTTTTTGCACGTCCTCGACGCCTTGACCCACATCGACTTAAAATCGCAAAAACAGAGTTCGATAAAATGTTAGAGCTCGGCATTATTCGACCATCCAACAGCTCTTGGTCTTCACCGCTGCACATGGTACCCAAAAAGTCTTCTGGTGAGATACGGCCATGTGGGGATTATCGAGCTTTAAACAAGCAAACGGTACCTGATCGATACCCCATACCGCATATTCACGATTTCGCCAGCAACTTGCCAGAGGTTAAAATTTTCTCCAAAATCGACCTTGTCAGAGACCATCATATTCCCATCCACCCGGATGACGTTCCAAAAACTGCTATCACCACGCCATTCGGCTTATACGAATTCGTGCGCATGCCTTTCGGGCTGATGAACGCCGCTCAGACATTTCAACGTCTCATCGACCAAGTACTCCGCGGCCTGCCCTTCGTCTACGCATACATTGACGACTTACTAATTGCAAGTGCAGACGAAACCGAGCATGTGAAACATGTGGGGACGGTGTTTGAAAGACTTCAGAAATACGGCATGACTATCAATTTAGATAAATGCGAATTTGGTAAGAAATCACTGAAATTCCTCGGTCACTTGATTGACAATCAAGGAATTAGACCAGTCCCCGACGATGTACAAGCCATCAAAGACTATCCATTACCAGATTCTTTCAAGAAATTACGGCGATTTTTGGGTCTAGTCAATTTTTACCGGCGTTTTATCCCGAACTGTGCTAGAGTTTTGCAACCGTTGACCGACTGCTTACGTGGACATAGTCGTTCATTCCATTTGCCTGCAGAAGCTGTTAAAGCATTCGAAGCTGTTAAACAATCGTTAAATGACAAGACGCTCTTAGTCAGACGCCAGAATGACGCCCCCTGTCTCTCATGACAGATGCTTCAGATGTCGCCATTGGGGCAGTGTTACAACAGCAGGTACATGGCGAATGGCAACCCCTTGCATTCTTTTCGAAACGACTGAATCCTACTCAATGTCGATATAGCACCTTTGGTAGAGAGTTATTAGCTGTTTATTTAGCAATCAAGCACTTTCGACATATGCTGGAAGGTACACCTTTTACTGTCTTTACAGACCACAAGGCTCTAACGAAAGCCTTATCAGCAAAACAGGATAACTACTCTCCACGTGAACTACGACATCTCGAGTTTATATCCCAGTTCACCTCCGATCTGCGACACATAAAGGGTAAAAACAATGAAGTGGCAGACGCTTTATCACGTATGCACATTGATAACATTGTATGCCCAGACATCGACTACGAACATCTCTCAAACTTACAACGAGATGACGCCGAACTCAAAAAGATCATGTCTTCTAAAACAACATCTCTAAACCTCGAGGCAATTCCTTTCGGCACGACAAAAGTTATCTGCGACACCTCTACAGGTAAATATCGACCTTTCGTTCCAATAGCTATGAGACATACAGTATTCGAGAAGTTACATAACTTGTCGCATCCTGGTGTTAGCGCTACTACCAAGCTACTAAGAGAAAGATTTATCTGGCCAAACATTAACAGCGACGTTAAGAAGTGGACACGAAATTGCTTGTCTTGTCAAAGAGTCAAAATCAACCGGCACACCAAAGCACCACTTGGTCGCTTCCCTAACCCCGACTCTAGATTTGACCATGTACATGTAGACATAGTTGGTCCACTGCCTCCTTCCAATGGTTTCAACTATATTCTAACCTGCATTGACAGATTTACTCGTTGGCCAGTAGCAGTTCCATTAATCGACGTCTCAGCTGAAACGGTAGCTAAAGCTTTAGTCGAAAACTGGATAGCCAACTTTGGTGTCCCATCAATTATCACTACAGACAGAGGTGCCCAGTTTGAAAGCCGACTGTTTGACCAACTAACTGAATTACTAGGCATTAAACGAATACGAACGACAGCGTATCATCCTAGTTCCAACGGTATGGTCGAACGATTTCATCGACAACTCAAAGCTGCACTCGCTGCTTCTTTGACTCAAAACGATTGGTCAACCAAACTTCCACTAGTATTACTTGGTATACGAGCTACTATAAAGAAAGATATTGGCTGCTGTGTTTCCGAACTAGTCTATGGAACAACATTACGATTACCAGGAGAATTTTTCACCCCGGGTAACGAAGTTCCACACGATATGACTGGTTACGTGCATCAGCTAAAACGACACATGAACGAGCTAAAGATATCAATTCCACGTCAGCAGGAACGAGCGTCATACATCCCGTCACAACTGACAGATTGTACTCACGTCTTCGTCAGGAGAGAAGGTGTACAACGACCACTTCAACCCGCTTATGATGGCCCATTCAAAGTTCTAAACAGAAACGCGAAAGTTATCACGATAGAAAGATTGAATAAAACAGAAGCCATCAGTATCGACAGAGTCAAACCAGCGTTCCTCGACGATTTCGAAGTCAACGATAAGAACCAGCTGAACGACGTGCCAACACCTACATCTACACAAGCTTCAACGTCGACAGAGAAGCCTGCGAAAACAACACGATCTGGTAGACGAGTCCATTGGCCTAAACGTTACGTGCAAGTCATCGAAATATAACTTACTACGAATTTTCATTTTTATTATCTTTATTCGTAATTGTCATTTGATTACTCATTTAACTGATTAATATTTTCATACATAAATCACGTCACTATTATTTTAACATCGATATTTCCTATATTATTACATTTAATCACATCTCGTATATTATTCACGTATCGTTTTCGTCTACCGACTACAGATCCCCGGACAATTTTATCGTTCCTTATATATTCTATTACGATTAGGAATTCCACTTTCCCTAGATTATCGCATTTATTATCGACGTTATTAACCGCATTAAACTGCTCATTTTTCAGCTTAATAAATCGCCTTCTGTGTACTATCGCTGCTGCGTATTACGCTGACGCATGTTATTTTCGAACACTTAAATGTATTTTTTTTATATTTCAGTGTTCTGATGGGGGAATTATGTAGTACCCCTATACCAACTGTAAACATGCTTTTTAATCTAATTTGTATACTTGTATTATATGTGTATACAGACCGATTTTATATGTACTTCGCAAATATTTGTCAATTCACTGTTGAATATTACCTTGACACAATTTCGAATTTGACTACTGCTTCAATACATATTCGTAATCTTCACAAGTGCCTTTTGATTTACGTTGTGGGCGTCGAGTAGCCACAACGTCTGCGCACATCAATAAGAACGAAGAAATACATAGAATATATGTGCACAGCAGTTTAGTCAGACAACGCACGCAATAAGTTAAATAAACCAACTAAAACGTTGAGAGATAGCATCCAGTGTTCAGTGATGGATGCTGTGGCCAATGGTTTTGAGGAATCACCAACCACTACAGCTCTTTTCCCCTAGTGGGGTTGTGAGGACCCCGGGACGAAACCAGCCGGAAACAAACACCCAGTGGTGTTACCATCGGTATGACTCTTCCGATAGGCTCGATTTATGATCCGCTGACATTCTGCTTAATAATAATAATATTAGTTTATATATTATTATAAATGGGTGTTTACAAGAAATGCAAGCCATATTTACAGGTATGATCAGGCATGTTATAAATCGCAGTGGTAGAATATTACAAATTAGTACCTTTTAACTGATATAAACGTACATTCCACAACTGTATTCCAGGATGCGTCGCGGAGGAAGGTAACTGGTAATTCACGGGGCAGTTGTAGGATATGGGACCAGTAATGTTTGCGGATCGTTTGTCTCTGTAGGTGGTTAAATATCTGGTAATCTATTCCAAATGACTGAAAACTTATTTAAGAAGAAGTTGTATCGCACGTAAGTCTGACAGTGCTCTATAGCAGCTAGGTTGTGATGATTTCTAAGATTGTAACTGATGACAGTGTTAGGTTTAGTTATTGACTCGGAGGAATGCAAGGGAAGATTAGTTAGCTTATAGTAAAAGATCAGGTTTAGCTTAAGGCGTCTTTTCCAGAGGGGTTCTAATCTTAGTCTTACGCATCGCTCATGGTATTCCAGACCACTTTCTGGACCAAGAGTTCTTGAGGTAAACTGCCGTTGCACTCCCTCTAATTTAAGCTTGTCATTTTGTCTGAGTCCGCTAAGAATAAACGGGCAGTATTCTAAGATAGGTCGGACACATACTTTGTATAATGAAACCCTAGTTTCACAACAAAATAAATTGCGAGTTATGAGTCCTATAAGGCTGTGTTTTACGTCTAGTACAATCAGCCAGTTAAATTACTAAAGCATCTGATACGGAGATCTACGACTGAGTTGAGCTTGGCTGGTTTTCCCCATTTATTTCAAGATTAACGTCAAGGTTACTGTTGCCGATACAAATCCCCCCGCATTTGTCAGTGTTAAACTTTAGACAGATTCAGCACACCATGTTGCGAGACCACTTAGTTCAAGATGTATTTTAGTAACCATATCGCCTAATTCATGAGTGTAGCAGGAGTAGACGACTTTGAGGTCGCCAGCATATAGGAATGGTTTACCTGAGGTGAAGCACTTGCAAATGCTGTTAATGTAGACTGTGAATAAAAGTGGACCTAGGACACTACCTTGCACAACCCCACTTGAGATCTGCCTAGGATGAGACAATACAGATCCAACTTTGGTTATTTGTACCCTGTTGCTAAGAAATGATTTTAACCAGTTCAGTAATGGGTTACGAATTCCACATGAGTACAGCTTCTCAAAGAGAATACTGTGAGATACCATGGAAATGCCCTAGATATATCGAAGTAGGGAACAACGACTAGCTTACGTGCTTCGCGACTACTAGTAATGCAGTTGAAAAAGTCGAAGTGGCAAGTAACGCAGGATCTATTTTTGAGAAATCCGTGTTGGGACCTCGTAACAAGATCTTCCCTAAGTAGGTAGTCTGACAATTGATCTTCTACAACTTTCTCCATGATTCGTGAGATAACTGGGGTTATATTTATGGGTCTGTAATTGCGGACGTTTGCCCTATCACCAGATTTGTAACGTGGAATTATGAAGCTAGTTTTCCACTCACTAGGGTAAGTGCCAGTGTCCATAGATATTGAGAAGAATTTAAGAAGTAACAGGGGTATATCACACCCACTGTTTTTGAAAATTATCAAAGCGAGGCCATCCGGTCCCGTACTAGTGGAAGGTTTAAGGCTTTTAATTGCTTGTACTGTTAATTGATTAGTGAACACAATGCTTTCAAGGGAAGAGCTAGTAACGGGGGTGGTTTCACCAGGCATATGTGTTTCTAAACTAAAGTTTGCAAACCAATCACTGAAAAGTTCACACATAGTGGCAGGCTCATTGTAGATTACTTTGTCGTGAGGTAAGGGTCATGCACCAACGAACGAACGTACCACGACGACGCGCCAAATGGCTTGGCTGCTTGACCGTGAGCCCTTAGCTAAACAAGTCGACTTAAAAAGTGAGGGTCAGCATCCAATGTTCAATGATGAATACTGTGGCTAATAATTTTGGGGAATTACCTACAGTTCTAGATCTTTTATAATGCAACAAGTTAATATGACTTGACCTGATTTCCCCAGTCATGCAAATGATCATTTGCCTGGTTTTAGTAAAAACATGTATTTTCATGTCGCAAATCCTTCAATTGGCCTAGGACCAACAGTGACAACAACAACAACAGTGGCAAGCACCAATCGCAGTCAACGGGAGAAATTTGAAAGAGATAACTTCCTTCACTTATCCAACCTGGGAACACGGTTTCAACCACAGGCAGTCGGAATGAATGAAGATGTCAAATCTAGCCAAAATCATAAAAGTAAGATACGCCTTAATCAACTTGAAACTAGTTTGGAAACTTTCTGCACTCTGTAGCAATAAAAATGAGAAGTTATTCAACTCCCCAATGTAGGTCAGACATTTGATGTGTCACGAAAATGATTTCCAACAAGCTACAGACTTATCAACAGCTGCCTTCGCTGATTCCATAGTGAAGAATAAATAGCCGGCCAGAAAGTATAAACAACAAGAATCTCTCGTAACATATCAACCAAAAGCCGATTGCTCAATATTTATGTAAGAGAACATGAAAATGAATCAGGCAGACACTGAGGAAACCGTCGAATGATTTTGCATGCCAGCCCGTAGCTCGAGTGGATCACAAATGCGAAACGGCTTCTTGAGCACTGGTCCAAGAGTGCCATAGAGGAGGTCGTGCGAGGAGATAAGAAATTATGTGTAATCGTTGGCCTAGCTAAAGAGGACAGCAGAAAATAGAACAAAGTGCAGATGTGTTGTTGAAGCTTTATGTTCCACTCAGAACCCAAGGGAATATAATAATAATAACAAAATACAGCCTAGGACCCGATGGTGTGCGAAGCATTTTGCTTCAAAAGTGTACTGATCTTTTGTGCTATCCTCTTATTGAAATCTGTAACGCATCACAGGGATACAGTACCTGTTGTCCGGATAGAAATAAAGGTGGTGCCTGTACCAAAATCTTCTGGGTCAGGCCTGAAATTTAGGCCAATAGCTATCACGTCTCCATATCTGAAAACTACAGAGAAGTTTCCCTTGCGTGTTCTTCAACCTGCTTTGAAATCTTTTAATGACTCAAATCAGTCTGCTTACAAATGGAGTAGCATTTTAGATTCTGTCGTTGTACTGGAGTACCACAATGTTGTTTCAATTCTTGATAAAGGTGCCAAGTTTGTTCGAGCCTGCCTTTTAGACTACACTGCTGATTTTGACTCTATTCCTAGGGCTCTTTTAAAAAGCGAGCATATTTCAGCAAATACTGAGTCACAAGGTGGCTGTCTTCTTATTTTTCGGGTCCAAAACAACATACTGTTTTAAGATGAAAAGCGCTCCGCTTCGTTGCTAATGGAAACTAATGGGCCTCAAGGCGCTGTACTCTCTCCATTCCTTTTTCTTTCTTTTTACATGACCTAACATAGCTAATTTGCCAATGGTCTAACCATTTCCATCATCCCAAGTAGTTTCTGCTTTGCATTGTTCTTATATGAACAGATTCTTGTCTGAAGTTAACAGATGGCCTTGAACTAAATCCACCTAAATGATATATTGTTGATTTCAGTTTCAGATGCGAACAAGACTTGCGTGGACTGATTCAGTCGTATGATGCCTGTAATATTAACGGCACTCTGATAGGGAGTAAATCGTATATCTCTTATGTTGGCATCAATTTCTTTTCAAATCTGTGTTGGTCGTCTCACATCCTGTTGATTTCTAAGAAAATCTGCCGTCTGACTTATTACATAAAGTTGGGATTACTCAACCTCTTCACTTGCAATTTAGTAACTCATGTATTCTGCCCATTCTCCTGTATTATTATATTATTTTTTCCTTCACGTTCCCAGTGGAACATAGGACTTTAGTCTAGTGGCTTGAAGTTTCTGTAGCAGTGTTTTTAATTTTGCAGGATGAGGTAGCTAGCCTCATGCCCAACCTTTCCTCTTTGCCAGTATTTTTATTTCTGGCTTAGCAAGGTAAATGAGTGCGTCGGTGGCCGATGATGGAACCCCGGACCATGTGAATGGTCGGCGAGCGTCCTAAACCCTATGCCACCGACGCATATTCTCCTATATTGCTACCACTTATCCTTCCTTGGGCTTCTCAAGAAAGACTATGTCGTATTATGTAGAACACTGAAGATTGTAAGTTGGGTTAGTGGTGTACCCCCTGACTCAGCTAACTGACACTGTTATCAACAAGCACTTGCAAACATTTGACTAAGGTTATTATTATATTTTGGTTACAGTTGGACCCCACACTGTATTTTTGGTACAAGTATGGAATTTTCAGCAAGTGATATCGGTAGCCCGTATTTCGCAGGCCGACCATACATATCAGGAGGTCGAACATCGGACCATGTGTGTGGTCGGCGAGAGTCCTAACCACTGTGCCACCGACGCACATCCTCTTTTTTTCTAAACTTTCTCTTCGTATAAAACTAGAAGAAACTTCGTGAGAATTTACGTTCGTACAACTAAATATAAACATCCTATACCATACCATATTTGGCACGGGTTTTGTATGAAGAGTTGGATGTCAGGAAAGAACTTATAAACTTTTTACGCCAGTAAGTGAACTGTGAAGTATGAGCAAAGGTTATAATTATTACTACCTACATGTATTATCTATAATACTATCTACCTATACTTCATCACGTTCCCAGCAAAATTCTGCTTATAGTGGTTTCATTATTTATGTTATTACTATTATTATTATTACTATCTTAAATTTTATGTATGTGCATATTCATAAAGGCAGCTAAATTGTTGCAATATGTATAAAAACGCTGATAACTTCATTCTCAACTGTTATGATTGTTTGGAATAAAATAAGTTGGAGAACCACTGGAAAACTTGGAAGTACTGGATAGTTGTTTCGTCCTAGTTTGGGACTCTTCAGCACTCGAGACCTAATAATCCAAACTATTTCAGGTAAAAATTTTATTACATATTGAAAATAGAAAGACAAAAGGCACTTGCAACTAAATTTCATTATATACATCATGACAAACATTTGCTTTGAGTCCATTTCATCGCATCTGAAGGAAATAGAGAAAATAAAAGGGAGCGGATAAAAGAAGTAATGACGCCAGCGCATATATTTCTCCAAGTGAAATAGAATAAGATTGAAGAGTAAGACATACAAAAAGAAAATCAATAACATACTGCGGTGAGTACTACTGATAAATGATATCAGTAGCATACAAGCAGATGTTCATCGGAATAATAACACAAAATAACAGGGAGGTTTACAAGAAGTCAGATGATACAGCGTTGTAGAGATACATGGGAGAAAGTGAAAGAAACACACACAACATGAAGTCCAGAAGTACCACAACTCGAAGATCTGTGCAAATGGTGTGTTGAAGATACGGGGTATGACATATAATTTGGCTGGCTATACAGGAGATACCAATTTCCAAATTAACATTTCTTCTTTACCAAGTCTTTGTCTTCTACACAGTTTCACTACATTACTGGTAATTTTTGTATATGTGCCACCAGAGGTGTGTATTAGTGGAATTATCCTTTCTTAGAACACTGTTGATCGAATTGACGTCTATTGCAAAACCATACACGAACAGATTCTCTATCACATCCTATGCGAGTTGCCAATGCACCAAAATCAGCTCCTGTCAATAGCCAAAAAATTGCCATTACAAAAAAACGTTAGTGATGAAGCACAACAAAACACAAATTCAAGGTGCTAAACATAGTACTACTACTACTAATTGGCTGATAAAAGTAGTTGAATACTAACACTCATATCAACCCAACAGTGATTTGCTAGCCAAATTAAAAGTGATATAAAAGCCAAATGGTCATTTCGCTCTCTCTCTCTGGGAGACGAGCTCATATCAGCGGAGTAAATCGAAAATTAATTCAAGCAGCATAGCCAAATTGATTTAGGATACGAATTCACTTGATTCCAACTGCTGTTCACGTAATTAAAATAGGAGCACACAGAGGAGAAACATTATGGTGTCATAAAATATATACAAGGATAAGTATTAATTTGGTGGATGGTGGAATCCAACAGGATGCGCATTTCGTCCTATTTGGGACGCGTCATCTGGATGTATCTGAATTTCTCAGTGAGCGATAATGTTCCCACCACCGAGGCTCGAACGCAGTGCCCATAGTTTCAAACGCCAAAGCGTTATCCACTAGACCACCACTAGGCCACGACATCGTCGAAGCATCTGCTCAACCTGAGACCGAGCACTTCGGTTCAATTAGTCGACGGGAAAATCTAAAATTCAATTAAATACAAGGATTAATTTGTGAAAAATAGGATACCATGAATATGTTTCCCCCCTCGCTCACACTTTAATTTCCGACTGATAAAAAGCATTTAGGCAAATAGGAAGAACCGGGTGTAAAGGAGGGCAAGCATACCATATTATAATATGAAAGGAAAATTACACAATTTTACGCATGAATATCTCTTGATAAGCCCTCATTGGCTGCCAATTAATAACCGTTGGCTGACTACTTACGGCCTGTTAATCAGTTCACAAAACATACCCATTTATTCAGAAGTAAAAACAGGGTATTTTTGTTCAGCGAAGAAATTCCAATTCAACGACTTCATTTTCAAGCTGTACAGTCGTATTTATATTACAGAAAAAAGGTTATTAAGTGCCACTCAATAACTGCTCAGTCAATGTACGTATATATGTGATAAAAGTTATAAGGGGTAGAGTTGAAGTGGATAAATTACAAAATTATTAAAGATTGTTTTATAAGTGAACTGATATCAAAAATATTTTTTAAAAGAAAAATGTCAAGCGTTGTCTAAAAATAAAAAAAAATTAAGAGTACGATTACGATCACTTCACATCTTCATTCTTCTCGTAATCGTACTCTTAATTTTTAAAATTTTTAGACAACGCTTGACGACATTAAAAAAATATGTTTTGTATCAGTTCACTTATAAAAAAGTGATTAATAATTTTGTAATTCATCCACTTCAACTTTATCCCTTATAACATTTTAATTATCGTTATTCTTATCACATGTATATGTATATTGGCTGAGCATTTATTTAGTACCACTTAATAACCTTTTTTCTGTAATATAAATACGACTGTACAGTTGGCTTGAAAATGAAGTCGTTGAAAAGGAATTTCTTCGCTGAACAAAAAGAGGAACTGTGTTTTTACTTCTGAATAAATGGGTTAATTTTCGTGAACTGATTAACAGGGCATAAATAGTCAGCCAACGTTTATTAATGGTATATATATGTTATGTACTCGTCGCCAAATTATGTACTGGTCGAAAATTTAATAGTCCTGACGCAAGAAAGACGGAAATCAGAAGACCACTAGGTTTGCGATGATACTTCTATTTTCCAAAACACAAGGAGAATCAATTCACACAAGAGTGTGCGAGCAAAAATATATATGAATGTCCAAACAAGTGAGTGAACAAATCAATAGACAGTCTTAACATGATTGGCTAATTATAATGGAGTATCGATCCATATATACATAACAAAATATAGCAGACATGTCAACAAACACACATATTATATATAATATAAGGGGAATATACATTGTTAAAGGAGACAGGTTCATCAAAGTGAAATGGTCACAGACTAAGAGAGCAAAAGAAAGACAGACCACCATATATATATATATATATATATATATATATATATATATATGGATACATATCAATATATTATTATATGCATACATTTATTTTGTTTTAACTTAAACTGCCTGTGTACGAACTATATAAGCGCAATTTTCTGAGCACTGTTTACTAATTGTGGGACTTTCTGTCAATTGACAACATGTAAAATTTGCAAGTATGTTAAAATGTTTCTGTACTTAAACCTCATAATTTATTTAGGCTGTAAGCAGCTGATGTTAAGCTAATAAAATAAATGATGGTACCATATTATTCTGCACAAACCACCGTTGTTGTTCTTGTTTTATTCAAATTCATCAAGGGGAATAAATGCATGAAGTATCTGCTTTGTTCCTATGTGTATCCTGAGTAAAACTCACTCATCAAACTATTCATATTATTACATAACTTCTTTTAACAACTGTTTGTGACAACTCATCACCTTTGTTACTATCCTAGTTTCATTAACACCTAATTTTTTTTACTTGTATTACCAATCTTCGCCCGTTTAGTTAAAATAACCATAACCAATTGTACGTATTTTTGTTTGACAAACTTAATGTACACATACATACAAAATAACACATATGTATATATTTGCGATTGTACAGCTGAGAAAATGAATTCGCCAAAAAGTCTCTTCACAGATCTATGTGTTTTTTTTTATTAATGCCTGAATGGGGATTATCCATGTAATGCATTTTATCTTAATTTTATATTCCTGTACGCAGAGTATCCAGCTGAAAAGTAGTTCTACCGAAATTCGATGGATCCATTAACTTTCCCCTTTATTATCAACTTTTGTTGCTTGTTTCAAAACTCGTATCGGGAAATGGATATTTCTGATAATAAAGTTGTTGTTATCGCAGTTGTCGTCTCAGTCAAATCCGACTTATGTGTCTACCTCTCAGTGTGGCGGAATACTTCCGGGTGATCAGTTGGCTACAGTGTCATGACCGGAGATTCATTCTAGGGGTCAAGTAAAACAATAACAATCAACAAAACACTAATGCTCTATTACAACACAGTGGAATTATTTCATAGAGGATTTCATCATGAGCTGACATTGGTTAGAGAACCATTGGAAAACCTGGGAGTACTGGACACCTGTTTCACCCTAGTTTTGGACTCTTCATCAGTACGTACGCGCGGGGGTTCGAATCCAGGACCTTCTGGTTACAAGGCGAGCTCATAGACCTTTGAGCCACTGGGACCTGATCCAATGGGACCCAGGTTTTCCAGTGGTTCTCTAACTGATGTCAGCTCATGATGAAATACACCATGCAATCAAACACAAAATATCCCTATAAAAACAACACTTGAAAACAGTGGAAATAGTTAAACAAGATAATCTGGTTTATGTAATACACTGCAATTATCCTGCGGTCAGATATATAGGCCAAGATATTAGGAGGGGATCAATTAGATTAGTGTGACACAAGGCCTGAACAAGACCTAGGCTAGTTAGATTTGAATCGGATAACAAATCTAGATAATAGCTCGGCTACAGCACTATATGCAATTAAACACAATACGATGGGACAAGATGATAGTCTTAGAATCTAATATAACAAGGTGGGAGGGGTGGGGGCAGATTGATAACTGAAGCCTTATTTATCAAGACAACCGAGAATACATGCAATAAGAATGATTCAATACCTACCTGTGCAGCACACGTAGAAAATTCTACTACCACTATGACAAATGAGAAGGAAGAAGGATGAGAACTATAAAAATCCAGCTTTCTATTCCTGTAGATACAACTGAGCTTGAGACTTCTTCATCCAGTGAATAATACTGTTTCACTAGGAGTATGCGTGTGATATCCAATTAATCAATTATTCTGGATTTACAAACTACCACAAAGCCTAAACTTTACATAATTTAGTCACCCTCCTCAATTAATATTTAATTTGGTTCCTATAGGTCCCCAGTGGAACATAGGGCTTCAGGATAGAGACTTAATGTTTCGGTAGAAGTGGTATTTATTTTTACGGGATGTGATTGATAGCCAGCCTCATGCCCAACGTTCCCTCTTTACCAGTCTTTTATTAGTGGCTTAGCGAGGCAAAGGAGAGCGTCGACCGGGAGCGAAACCCCGGACTACGCGAGACGTGATCAGCGAACATTCTACTACTATGCCACCGACGCAAAAAGCCGGTAACACCCTCTATTCCCAGCCAGTCAACCATCCAAGTACTAACCGGGCTCAACGTTGCTTAACTTCGGTGATCGGACGAGGATCGGTACTTCCAACGTGGTATGGACCCCGAAAACAACCTATAGCCCTACAAATATTTTCAAGGGAACGCAAGTGGATTGGATAGGCACTGAGTGACTGACATCAGAGGCGCCAGTTCCCCCCAAGTAGAAGTCGAATGGGAAACGACAAGTTTGTTGAGGGTTCAAAAGGTGACATCTAAGCGATGATCATGTGAAGAGGAAATGCAGCCACCTAAAAAAAACTGCTGAAAACAGGATGACACAGAGATGTACTGTTGGAGACCTATTATTTATTTTTGATTACAGCTTGATTCCATACTGTATTTTTGGTACAATTATGGAATTTTCAGCATGGATATCGGTAGCCCAAATTTAGCAGGCCGACCATATATATCAGAAGTGCGTAAGCATGGGCTCGAACCCCGGACCATGTGCATGGTCGGCGGGAGTCCTAACCGCTGTGCCACCGACGTTCCATTCGGAGTAATAATAACATATAACCATAGTTATCTACCCGTTGTGCGTCGGCGGCATAGCAGTTAGGACGCTTGCCGACCATGCACACGGTCCGGGGTTCAATCCCCGGCCGACGCACTTTTTTACCTCGCTAAGCCAGAAATAATGCTGATAGAGAGGGAAGGTTGGGCATGAGGCTAGCAACACCATCCTGTAAAAATAATCACTGCTACAGAAACTTCAAGCCACTAGCTTGAAGCCGTATGTTTCACAAGGGAATGTGAAGGAAAAAAATCTAGCCGTTGAAATAGCAAAATAGCACATTCGATGCAAGCTTACCTTTCGGTCTAGAGTTCTTTGCATAAAACTCTGTCAGTATTGATAGAGCTTCAGTGGAAAAATACGTCCGTCGACGACGTCTTCGTTTTTGCTGTGGATCTGTTAATTTACACGCTGATTCAGAGACATCAGGACTGAGATTCTCTGAAACTGAAGGAGTACTACTTACATCATGATTATCACCATCATCATTGTTATTCTTAACCTGAAAACAAAAAAAGACAAAACAAGACAGACATACAGACAAATATTCAACTCAGAAAAATAATAATAAAACTGACTGTAAATATTTTTAGAAGGATATTCTTAATATGTAATACACACACTTTATGAAGTTAATGGACTAAACATTTTGTTTTTGGCAAACACCGATAGTTTTTAAAGCTGTTAATGGTAAGCTATCAGCAGTGCCAACAAATGTTTATTTCATGGAGTAATTTAGTGGACGGTGACCAGCAGTGGAATTTCGTCCCATTTATAACTCTTCACCTGGATATACCTGTAATCTCCAATGATTGATAGTGTTCCTCCTGGAAAATCAGACCCATTATCCATCATTTTTTAAACTTAAGATTACAAATACACCCAGCTGTTAAGTCCCGAATAGGACAGATTGCGCATCCTTGATTACACCTGTCAGTCAGCCACCAACAAACAAAATGCAGTACACTGTGTATACAAAGGTAAATCCTCCTCTGCTGTGCTACTCACTGAAGCTGGTGTCCCCCAAGGTGCTGTACTCTCCCCACTTCTCTTTTCTTTCTTTCTCTCTACATGACCTACCATCTTCAAATGACATTAATTTTGTTAAATATACTAACGACGACCTGACTGTATCTTTGCCTGTCAAATGTCAAAGTGACTCCTCCAAACTAAGTGGCTTTTTATCAGAAATCAGCCAGTGGTCCAAGGAAAACGGTCTTACCTTAAATCCCTCTCTCTAAATGCCAAACAGTCAATTCCACCTTTAGGCATAAATCTAACCTAAACAAACTGGTTGGCACTCACGAGGTGTGCAACATAGATGGCACTAAAATAGAAACCAAGTCGGAAATAAAATAAATATCTTGGAGTCATTCTATCTGCTGATCTTTCCTGGTCGTCTCATATCTTGACGATTTCTAAGAAAATATTCCGTTTTAACTTCTACATCAAGAAGTTAAGACATTCTGGAAGAACCCAACCCAACCGTTACTCCTACAATTCGTCAGCTCCCGTATTCTGCCTATTATTCTCTATTGTTCCCCCTTAGTTTTTCCAGGGCTACTGAAGAAGGACTATACCTTATTACGTAGGATGTTAAAGGTTGTCAGCAGGGTAAGCTACGTGCCACTTAACCAGCTTTTTAATATTCTGGTCGAGAGGCACTTGGACTCATGTGAAAAATGGGCTAAATCCATCTTATCTAACTCACACCACCCTCTTCATTTACAACTCTACCCTTGTATTTCATCAGGCAGAACCAGAAGCCTATATGGAAAATTATATGCTCGCACTAACAAGTAAAAAACTCAACCATACCCTGCTTAGCTCGTGCTCTGTGAGATAAAGAAAGCTTTAGGCGTGATACCTGTAACTTAATAAATAGTCAGTAGAACAACTGGATCTCGTCTTTCCAACTCATATCATTTATAGGTACAACGTTTTCTTTCTTTCTTTTCATTTTCTCTCTCTTTTTTTGTTATGTATTGTTTTGTTTCTCTCTTCCTTACAAACTCTACTTAAAACATTCTCTTCTTCGTTCTTTCACACTCTGTATATCTCGACCTTTTTGTTACCGCTTACGCCAGCAAATATGCCAGCATCTACTTTTCTAACACCTTCAAAACACTGTTCAATTTTTGGCTTTGCTACCGACATACCAATATGTTGTTGTCATAATGAACTGAGATTTCCTCAATCTATGTAGAATTTTATTTATTGTTAATGTACAAACTGAATGCAATACTGTAGTGAAATGCTGAGAATTCCACTCTGTATCACAAGTACTGTTTTGGAATAAAGCAAATTACTATTATTACTTGATGTTAATCCTGAGACATCGCTGAAGCGGATGTACTAGAAGCAAAACTGTCAACAGAGGTCGAACACTTTAGTCCAAACGATCAACGGCGAAGTCAAAGTTAACTTATAAAAACAGGCTTATTTCACTCTTTCGTATACTTGTGGTGAGAGCTGGCTGAGAACAAACTAAAATTGTAGACAACAATTTACGTCAGTGATCACGCCCCGAATCAGGGTCATGAGGAAAAATGCGAGAACAAAGCTTAACCTTGACGAACTCACCAACCAATCACAGCAGACTTAACGTGTGCAAACACGATTCGCAGGTATATGGCTTAACTTTTTAATAATAACCTTCAGCAGGAAAATAACCAATCACAGGAGAGCTTACTTCTTCGCTAACAGTAATGTACATAAAGATATATAAATACCGCTTGATTTTCTCAATAAACGATCTGTTGCCTAGCCTTTGCCTTCTGTCGTTGCATGCTATTTAATACGATTAAGACTAAATTGAGATGAAAACGGAGACACAGAATAATCAAAGTCAGTTGGTGGAATCCATGATGCGCATTTCGCCTGTCCAATTCACAACTCATCATCTGAGTGCACCTGCATTCCGCATTGAGTGATGGTGTCTCCACCGAGGCTCGAACACAGCACTCATAGTTTCAAACACCAAAGCGTTATCCACCAAACCAGTAGGTTCATGAGAACCACCTCTTGCGCAAAGGGTCTTCTTATTAATTATTTAATTCAATTTAGATTTCCCTATCGATTGACTGGACCGAAGTACTCTATCTCACCATCACCTATTGACTTCAGCCTACATGAACAAACATCGCTGAAGCCTCTGCAGCACTAGGAAGGAGCCGGACATGTCAACCTGAGACCGAGCATCGATCGATCCAATCAATCGGTGGAAAATCTAAACTGAATTAAACAGGATAATCAAAGTTTAATGTAGTACAATATAATATAATTTATATCATATAATAATATCAAAAAGAAGGTATTACTTGTTTTGTCACAAGAGCCAAAACAGTTGGATTTTCAGCATTATTATCATTATTATCACTGCTATGACTTTGGCCTAGACGAGCTAACATTTTAACTCGAGCATTGCCTACAGCGCGTACAGGAATAGAACAATGGAAGACTGGTAATTTCTCTGTGACAATTTTACTGCATTGTTTTTGTTCAGCATGAGCAATCCAACGTTTTAAATAAGGTAATAATCGGTAGGCAGATCTAACGGTAATACTGAGTTTTTCAAATCTGAAAGTGAATAATACCAAATAGGTTATTAGTTGAATATATGCATATATGTAAGCCATACCAGAAAGAATATAAGGTGTGCGTGTGTGCGGGGGTGGGAGGGTCGACTGACTCACTAGCTGAGTTTCAACAGAAAACTTTGCACAAAAGTGCACCAGTTCACGTCGCCGCACTCCATGTAGCAAACAATAATAATAATAATGATATCCTTTATTCCAAAAACAGTAGTTGTGATACAGAATGAAATTTTCAGCATTAATCACAATATTGCATCTAATTTCTTCAAATTATAAATAAAATTAATCACACAGAAAATTTTCAACATTTACAATAGAGGTAGTGTCAAAATCATGCAGCATATAAAATGGAAATAATAATAATAATGATAACACCTAAGGTAATAATAATAATAATATACGTGAAAATTGCAGTGGGCTTGTTTCACACAGTATTGTCAATGCGGTATAGAAATCCTAGCATGTTTAAAAATATTGAATATAATGTTCTCTTTACATGATGTGATGAGGGCAAAAACAAGAATTACAGCAGTCATAGAGATAAGTCGGTGTTTGCAATTATGAGAGTAAAACAAAGAAGTAACAGGACCATAAATATAATAGAAATAATAAAAGTAAAACTTGAAGGTATATAAGGATGGATGGAGGAAATTGTTTATTTACTAGATGAAAAAAGGTTAGTTAATTCTTGCCTGACACTATTTTCATCACATAAAATACGTGACAAGTATGGTATCATAGAATTTTTGTACTTAGACGTGAGAGCATACAGTTTCCTGAAATTACTTCTTGTTCTACCTGAGGAGATGCAAGGTGAAAGTTGAGGGTAAAGTGGATGCTCCAAGTCAGACAAAATCCCTCTAGCAAATTTATTGCATGAAGTCAAGTGCCTATTGACAACGACGTTAACAATGTGGTCCACTGGGACACCACTCACCCTACTGACAGTCTTCGGCATTCTACGAATTGTGACATAGTCCTTTTTAAGCAAACCAGGAAAGAATAAGGGTGAACAATAAAGAAGAATAGGTAGGATGCAAGAGTTTATGAACTGTAAGAGTAGGGGTTGAGTTACACCTGAGTGCCTTAACTTCTTAATGTAAAATGTCAGGCGGAATATTTTACTGGGGATTGCTAAGATATGGGAAGTCCAGGAGAGATCAGAAGAGAGAATGAGTCCAAGATACTTAATTTTTGATTTGATTCCTATATCATTGTCGTCAATTTTACAACTGTCATGAGAATCGATGACTTCTTTTCACTGTCGTTTACATCTTAAGCTGAAATCAACAGTTTGACACTTAGAAGGATTCAGTTTAAGACCGTTTGACTCAGACCATTTGCTGACTCCCGATAGAAAGCTATTTATTTTGGTACAATCTAGCTGAGAGTTAACAGCCATTGAAACTGTTAAATCATCAGCGTACTTCACAAAGCCTATTTCATCAGAGTAAGGCAGGTCATGTAAGAAGAAAGAAAAAAGAAACGGAGAAAGGACAGCGCCTTGAGGGACACCAGCTTCAGTAGGCGATGGAGTGAAAGACTTCCCTTTATACACACTGTACTGCTTTCTTTCTGAGAAATAGGAATGTAACCAGTTAACAACCCAACATTCTGTTTGACTAGCAGCAAGTTTATTTAATAAGACGTCCCTAGGGACCGAGTCAAAAGCAGATGCATAGTCTAGGAAGGCACAACGGACAAATTTAGCCTCCTTGTCTAGACTGGTAGATATAACAGAGAAAGAGATTCAAAAGAACTACGATGGGGGGTGGTGGGGAGAAATTTGAAAGGTAATCAATAGAAACATGGAAAAAGATGACGGTTTAGTGGATATCGCAGATCAGAAAGAGTGAATGCATGCATCTGGGCCATTAAGAACAATTGTGAGTCACATCACCAGTTGTCTGCAGCCACCGGTTTTTGTAATCTTGGAGGAACCCAGCCAAGCAATCCACACGAATGTTTGGCAAGTCACGAATTAATTTGAAAAAAATGAGGATATTGATTTGGCAGGGGGTTACTTGTTTTTCACAGAAAATCTTCAAATGCAATGGGGGACAATGAAACACATTAAAATGAATGCCGTATGGTTTTACACATCACATGACACTGGCTAACTGACAGGCTCAGTTACAGGTGTCAAGGATGGGTGTTTTGTGTCTTTTTTGAATTCCACTGTCGCGTAATACTGGTTAATTAGTGCTGCAAAACATGTTATCTGTGAAGCATAGAGTAGACTCCTTCCTGTAGCTTTATCAAGTCTCCCGCTTAAACTATTCCTCATAATTATAGAACGCAATTGGTGATCGCTTGTTAGGCTTCACAATTACATCACATTAATGATATTAGATAGTTGGAGGCAATCGGCTACAGGAAGCCTTCGAGACTGACCTCCTGCAGGGCTGTAGTGGGTATTTTGATTAGACACTAGTAACTAGTGCGACGTGTTTAGTCGTTTCTTTGGTGCTTTCTCTCCTTGGTCGAAGAAGGCTTCCTGTAGCCGATTGCCTTCAACTATCTAACATCATCAAATCAATGTGCACCGTGATGGCTAGCGAGCTACCTAGGATGGTGGCCACATTGAAAACCTGATTGATTGATTGATAGAATTCAGGCTGCACCAAAGAAATGACTAGACACGTTGCACTAGTTACGAGTCTCTAATTAAAACATCACGTTGATATTAATTATACATATTCGGAACCATTGTGGTTAGTAGGAGTTGTAGCTACTGAATTCCTGACAACGTAACTCAGCAAAATAACAGCTAAAACATTCTATGCTGCAGCACTATGTTAAAAACTCACCACCAATGCAGGTGATATACATAAGCTACAGAGTGTGACCATTTTATCAATGTGTAGTGATAAATTTAACTGCTCTCTTAGAGACAGTTACACAAGTAAAACGACTCGATGAACCCAACGTCGCTTTCTTGAGTATTGCCAAGCGTGGTTGGGTAAAGAAGTCGTAAAGTCAATCAGGAATTTCAAACTGGCACACCTAATGGATACGGAGCGCAGGATTCATAAAAATCAGTCCCTACAATTCCGTACAAGGTGCCACATCGATTCTTCGATCGGAATGAATAGCTGAGGTTAGTTACCATAAAAAGTATTCAACCCAATCTATGTGTTAAGAAAACGCTTGTCCATTCAGTCAGCCTTCTTCCGATAGTTTCCTTTCCCAATCACACTGGATGATTGTAAATATCATCCTTATTCGTACCTTTATAATTGCATACTTCAGTCTTAGTTTTACAATTTATTTATTATAAAATCAAACACTCGCTCATCTTTGGTTATAGGATTTCATAAGGAGCTGACATCGGTTAGAGAACTATTGAAAAACAGGCACTAGAGTACTGGACAGTTGTTTCATCAACCTAATCTGGGACTCTTCATTGGTACACACCCACCGCCAGGGTTCGAAACCAGGACATTCCGGTTGCAAGGTGGAGGAGCTCGTAGGCCATGAAACCATTAAGACCTGTGATCCAATGGCTCATGAGTTCCAAATTGTGCCATTTCACGATATGGCACATCAAAAGTTATTTTTCGCCTTCTACCACTACAAGTATGCATGTTTCGCTTACGCATTCACAATGATTGACTGACTAGACGATATAAACATGCATGAATTTATCCGTTTTATTATTATTATTGTTTTCCTTGAATTTAAATTCTGTTAAGTACATTTGTTTCAAACTTCTATGGATAACATTGTTTATCTGTCTGTTTTCAACATAGAACTTTGCACCGATGTGCAGAAGTTCAAGTCGCCACACTCCCGCCTTGTAGCACACAAATCAATAGAAGAAAGTAGAAGAAATGCATAATAGAGACAGCAGACAGGGATACGAGATAAAAGGAATAGTAATGACGAAGAACAATGTAGTTTCATTGGAAATCATAACTCACAAGGAGTGGATGCATCTGCTCTGTCATTGAGAACGATTTTGAGCCATATCATCAAATGCCTCCAGCCTTCATCGGTTTTTACCGTCCCGGGAAGTCTACACCTTCTTATGTGACTTAAACTATTTGTTGTGGATTTCGTTGACTGGTGCAGCCATGTTTTAGAGTGACCGCCGCTAGCCCTTTTCCAGCCTGATCCATCCTGTGTCAGCCAACATTGCCCGTCGAGGAAGGCGATGACTGGGCATATGTACCACATATCTTAACCATCTCAGTCGATGTAATTTCACAGCCTAATTGATTGACTTCCCCTCCTTACCTAGCACTCGACCGACGCCTAACCTTAATATTGCCCACCTTATTATACCACTTCACACGGGAGATAGAACGCAGGCACCTATGATCGAAGACAGCTAATCTTTTCATGTCTTCCACTCTCAATGGCCAGGTCTCACAGCCATAAAGGAGGACGGGACGGACTGATGAGCAGTACACCCGCCCTTTGGTCGATAGCCAGCCGGATATCACGTCTACTAAGCCAGAGACGGCGTAAACTGGCATATGCGAAACTAGCCCTCTGTATCCGTACTGAGATTTCGTTATAGATCAACCCGTTGGGGCTGATGGTACTTCCCAAATAAGTGAAGCGGTCAACGTGCTCTACCACTTCACTCCCTATTTCTAAACTAGTAGTCAGTGTAGTCCAGTCCTGTAACATCATCTTACATGAATAACATTGTACTATGTATTCGTAAAGTCTGACAAGCAATTATCAAAAGCACGTATATGCTAAAATTGTGTGTTCTCCAATTATCAAATAATATGAGTTAGAGAACAATTGAAAAAACCAGGAATCACTTCTGGATAGCTTTCCCCTCCGAATTTGAGACTTGTCAGCAGTATTCACTCATAAGTCATTCTATTAAGTGGTCAAAATGATGCGGACAGACTTCTCGAAGTCTAACTAACTGCGTCAATTATTTTTATCATCATCATTATTATTTTTAAGGATATAAATCGTTTCACCCCTGTCTTACTTCTGCGTTGAATTTTAGCCTATATCATCTATTGAACGAACAGTTGTACTGTGGTGAGTACTACTTATAATCCGATATAAGTAGTATATTAGTAAACGAATTCAGGAAAGTAACAATAATTGTTTTGGCCATTGGAAAAAGCAATCGAAAAACAGAACTAAAAGAGAAGAATGTTACAACACTGCAGAATCCAAAAGCTATCGAATGTATTGGGTGGTAGTCGATCAATTTGTAAATGATGTGCAAATAAAGGTTTAATCATAAGGTATACCAATGCGTTTGTGCCTAATGAACATGGCCTTCGAGCCTTATAGACCTTTTCCTCTTTACAATACTAGGATTATTCATTATACTCTCATAAAAAGGATCCGGTTACTAAATGTTTATTTTAATTAACTCTACCGCATACTACTTTGATTGTCAACCTCCGGGAAACTCCTTCAATGCCTTAACTTAACACATTATTTCAAACGATTATACTACTACGATCGATTAATTGTTATTGGTTTATTTGTAATTATCTCTCCTCAAAAAGTACACATGGCGCATATTTTGAAAGATATGTAGGGTATTCCTGACCGATGGCTGCTATCTTGACGTGGTGGTCGGGCTTGCATATCGCGATGACACGACAGGGTAAACTGGCTGGAACCAATGTTCCTGCAAGTCAACCATGCCAGGAAGGTTGTTAGGATAGCGATTAGACAAAAATCAGTTACCGGCATAGCGTAAGAATCTTTCTTGCACTATGCTGGGGGTCTTAAGGCGAAGTCGTACTGCTGGGGAACAAGGGTGTAACAGCAGTGGGGTGTTTCCCTAAGATAACCAACCAGCCAGCTATGCTGTCTCTCCACTCCGGAGAGAAGAGGTTAGAAAAGGTCGACCCCAAAAATTTTACATCCCGTAACCGGCAGTAAGTTTACCAATACAGAACCAATTCAAGAAACCAGTTCATACTGGCCGTGTATGACCGACCGGCCTCAAGCAGTTGTCCCTTGGGCTCTGTGGTCACGCAACACTCTTTCTCTTTCAGGTACCTGAAGAATCAATCAACTTCCACGGTGTGGGCAGGCGGGAAGTAACAACCGCCTACAAACTTCTAAAAGCACACGAAGACTTCCTGAACATCATTCTCCTTTACTCACATCACCTTCCTCGTCTTGCTTCTCTACTACAGTTAGTACTATTTTGCAGGCTAATGAGTCATCTTCACTTCACTCTGTGACCACAGACAACGATGAGAGCCATAGAAACACCCCAGATAGCCTTTTAAAGCCACATCACCAACTTCATATAGGACTTCAGGATCCTCTGCGAAATCGGACGACAAGCATCACTAGCGAAAACTCTGGCATCTCGAACCATGGATGTATGTTGTGTTTCGGAGACACGCATACAAGACCCGAGTGTGGTTATTCACTTAACCTCGCCTGGTCAACAAGGTGAATCTGCAAAATTCACTTTAGGGCTGTCAGGAGAGCCCTCAACTAGCTTGCGAGGACTCGCAGGTGTAGGGCGGAAAAATCACTTCTTGACTGGATCCCAGTAGATAGTCGTTTGTGTGCGATTCGTCTGAATAGGTCCATTAAAAGGAGGAAAGACGGCGCTACCCATAGTTGCCTTTTCGTAGTTCGTATGTAGGGTATTCAGGTGACGAGTTCTATTGAAATATAATATATTTATTAAATCCTGCTTATTATTTTAAATACCTGTTGGGAAAGAACTGTTTCTAAAAACTAATGCTCAGTAGCATAGTAGATCAAGAAAATAGACACATAGTGTTACTTCAAAGTGTTATCTAAAACACACATAGACTGACCTAGATAAAAGTGTTTGACTAAATATTGCTTTATTGTTATAATGCTTTGCTAGTTGTGAACTCAATTGTACTTGTGATAATCCCAGGCGCAATCGAAACTGTCGAAAGTGATTAACAAAACGTTCCAGTTCGGATAAATTATGCCCATGAATAATAATCTCGTCACTCTCAGATGAATTTATCCTAGTTTTTGATTTCTCTAACAGTTCAGAAACTGGAAAGGAAAATAAATAATATAAGAAAACATAATAAACTATTTACTTAGATCACGATGAATGGAATGTGTTCGGTTACTTTTGCTGCTCAACAATTAGAGGTTATCAACAGAAAAGTTTCGTACTTACCTATTACTCATCAGTGGAGGAGATAAACAACTTTCAAGAAGTAGGTTCCTCCCAGTAGATTCAAATGTGTATTATTGGTGATAATAATTTTTTTCCTTCACGTTCCCCAGTGGAACATAGGGAAGGCTTCAAGCTGGTGGCTTGAAGTTTCTGAAGCAGTGTTTAGTTTTTACAGGATGGGGTTGCTAGCCTCATGCCCAACATTTCCTCTTTACCAGCATTATTTCTGGCTTAGCGAGGTAAAGGAGTCCGTCGGCCGGGGATCGAAGAGCTGGGATACTGCCCGAACGTCCAGGCTGAAGCACGTGGGGGCCAACCTCCAATCCTTTGTTTTGTATTCTGATCCATAAGGCAGTGAGTGATGCAGTGTCAGAAGTCGAGTCTCTATGGCTGTCAGTGATTAAAACAGTGATTTACACACCATTTTTAAGCCCCTTTGGACTCTGCAACTCTTGTGTATAGCACAGATTTGGAATCAGCTGCCTTTCCAGTTGCCCTAAGTAGACTTGCATGGTCCAGACGTTGGCAATCATCCTTCCACTTTTGTGAGGAACATCCCTACTGCTAACCGCATGAGAGCAGTGGGTAGGAATTACCTGGCTGGGGCTACGGACGCATGACCACACATAAGAACATTTCGACAGGAAGATCAGTGTCTACACAACCTCAGTCGTATAAGGTCGTTCACAGGAGCCGCAAGTAATCTTCTAAGTGACTGAATGTGCATAAATCGACTAGTGTGTGAGTAGCATGAAAAAATTATCTTTGGGAACCACAACAACAAAAAATTAAAAATCAATGGTCACTTTATAAACGACAGATAGAAAGAGGTTGAACATGATTAATCTGCGATATTTGAAAATACGTTAGAAAATAATAAAAAATTTTTTAAAAAGCATGTTTCTGGAATGCAAAACTATCAAGACAAATCAATCAGCTGGCAAAACTAAGATTTGTCCAAATTAAACCATCTATTGATTACCGACACCATTTAAAAGCATTCGGAACCACGTAAGTGTCTATCTGTTTTCGACATAGGACTTGCACCGATGTGCGACAGTTTGAGTCGTCACACTCCATGTAGCACACAAAGCAAGAGAAGAAAGTAGAAGAAATGTATAATACAGACAGTTAACGGATGTGTGAGACAAAGGAATAGTAATAACGAAGATCAATACAATTTCATTGGAAGTCATAAGGAGCGGATTATAATGGACCATAAAGGATTCACACGAAAAACACATCTGGAAACGAACGAACTAAGAACCTTTTTTGATTGGACACTAGTAACTAGTGCGACGTGTCTAGTCCTTTCTTTGGTGCAGATTGAATTCTATCAATCAGTCAGATTTGCAATGCGGCCACCATTCTAGGTAGCTCACCATCAAGGTGCACATTTTTTCCTTCGCATTCACCAGTGGAACATAGGGCTTCAAGCTAGTGGCTTGAAGTTTCTGTAGCAGTGTTTATTTTTCGGGATAGGGTTGCTAGCCTCATGTCCAACCTTTCGTCTTTACGAGTTTTTTTTATTTCTGGCTCAGCGAGGTAAAGGAGTGCGTTGGTGGCCGTGGGTCGAACCCCGGACCATGTGTATGGTCGGCGAGCGTCCTAACCGCTATGCCACCGACGGTGCGCATTGATTTGATGATATTAGATAGTTGAAGGCAATCGGCTACAGGAAGCCTTGGACCAAAGAAAGAAAGGACTAGACACGTCGCACTAGTTACTGGTGTCCAATCAAAATACCCACTACAGTCCTACAAGAGGTCAGTTGCGAGCCAGCCCGAATAGCTCAGCGGTAACGTCTCTGACTGCGGCACTGGCTCGTGACACGGGTTCGAATCTCAGAAGGGACATGAGTTCCTTCAAGGTTGCAGATACGCCTTGCTGATGAGTGTCAACTATCACGAAACCTAGGTCCAAGGCTTTCTGTCGATTGCCTAGAACCAAGAACCTATTGGCCGACAAAAAAAGTGGAAGAAAATGGAGAAAGATTAGATACACACTGTTAAGGTTACCGTTAAGTGACACCGTGCACCGGGCCGTCAAGTTGAACTTGAATGGAAACAGATGAGTTGGTCATGGATCCGAGGTTGATGTGGGGTAGATGAAAGCGTACGGGTAATCATAGAGCCAGGTAAAGATAACTGAAGAGAGCGGCATCAAATGGAGATATGCTGTAGAAGGCGTATGTTCTAATAATCGGAACCCCAGGGGATTATTAGTAATAATGACAATAATAGTAATAAGTAGTTAAAGATTCAGTTTATTAGTAAAACCTTTATTACCTATTTGTCCTAAGAATTTCGACCTTGTAGTAGATGGTGACTCATTGTCGACTTCATTTCTATGCAAGCTTTTTGAGTCATTTTCACATTGTCGACGAGGTGTAGTAGCAGCAACAGCCTGTTCCACATCTGAGTTGATCAATAACGTTGTTGTTGTCGTCGTCGTTGTCGATGATGAATTAGGTGTAGTCCATTGTACACCAGTTTGACTATGGCAAACATTTGTACGATCTGCAGCAGACGATGAAAGCTGTGCATCCAGATCAACACATCCGAATTTAGTCGGTGTACTCAAGTCGAATAGACTAGAACAACCATTCGTTGAAGTTGAAAACAAACAGTCTTCTTGATTCGAATAACCTTTATCCGAGTACACATTAATCGGTACGCCTGAAGTAGTTTGTGGAAATTTGACAGATGGAAGTTTCTTGAGAATATAACTTCCATTAGAATTTTCAACAAAAAAGTTTGCTAAGATAAGATGACCTGAATAATACAACGTGTAGTGAAACAAAAAAGAGGTAGTTGTAGTGTAAATACAATGGAAGGTATTACTTATACTAACGATTAAACATGAATTCTTGGTTAGGCTTTTTGGCTTTTGGAAGTGTGTGGGTGGTTTTTACTTCCCGCTGCCCACACCGTGGAAGTTGATTGGTTCTTCGGGTACCTGAAACCGAGAGAGGGTTAGTGTTGCGTGACCACAGAGCCCAAGGGACAACTGCTTGAGGCCGGTGACACACGGCCTGTATGAACTGGCTTCTGGGATTGGTTCCGCATTAGTCAACTTACCGCCGGTTACGGACCACCGTAGGTGGGGTAAGTCGGGATGTACAATTTTTGGGGTCGACCTTTTCTAACCCCATCTCTCTCTCCGCAGTGGAGAGACAGCATAGCTGGCTGGCTGGCATGCTGGTCATCTGAGGGAAACACCCCACTGCTGTTACACCCTGTTCCCCAGCAGTACGACTTCCCCCTTAAGACTCCCAGCATAGTGCAAGAAAGATTCTTACACTATGCCAGTAGCTGCTTTTAGTCTAATCGCTATCCTAACAACCTTCCTGGCATGGTAGGACCTGCAGGAACGTTGGTTCCGGCCAGTGCCGCTTGTTGGGTTATCGCGATGTGCAAGCCCAACCACCACGTCAAGGTAGCAGCTATCGGTCGGGCTAACTGGGGATAGGCCGGAAATCACAGACTCCACATTAATTTGTTTATCAGAAATATCACACAGCGAAACAGTATAATTTACCAGACTACAGCTTTATACTATTATATGTAAATGTAAATTAGTCGAACAAAATCAAAATATTGAAGTGTTATGACTTGCAGGGATTTGATTTGATTGATTACAGGATTCCATCGTGAACTGACATCATCGGTTAGAGAACCATTGGAAAACCAGGACTGGACAACTGCTTCGGCCTAGTTTGGGACTCTTCCTCAGTACACACCCACCGGAGTCCCAGTGGCTTAGTGGTCTACGAGCTCACTCGCCTTGTAACCTGAAGGTCCTGGGTCCAAACCCCGGTGGATGCATACTGCTGGAGAGTCCCACACTTGGAGGGAACAGCTGTTCAGTACTCCCTGGGGGTTTTCCAATGGTTCTCTAACCGACGATGTCAGTTCATGATGAAATCAAAATAATTATTTGCAATTATTAGTTTGGAAATCAGTCAGTGGGCTTAAAGAATATAAATATCTTGTGGGAAAAGGGAGTAAAACTTTCATATCAATTATTTTGTTGGATACCACACGCACACACGCACAGTGAGACAGTATTATTTACCGGATGATGTTTCAAACAGTTTTGATTCGTAGTCATATCATCAAATGAAACTGCACAATTTCTAAACCTGATTTTTCCAATTCTCATCCTTCTTTTTGCCATTTGTAGAATTTTCCGGATATACGGGACAGCTGTTAAACTATTCCTAATGCAGGTGTTCTCAGTCAATTTGATAAATAAAGCGGACGTTTACATGTCTTATATTGAGAACCTGTCCCTTGATTTAATTTCTAAATTGCCCTTCTATAGGAGATATGTAGATGATATCATTTTGATATGTGACGATCATGAAGATGAGAGTCGTCTATTAGACAGACTTAACTTCGTACAGAATCATATTAGTCTTCTTTATGCGAGGAAGAAAGTCGCAACCAGCTTGCATTTTTAGACATACTTCTGAGTCAAAGAGATGATGGTTCAATAAGACGATCAATCTACAGAAAGCCCACTTGGACAGAGGAGTACCTTAATTTCCACAGTTTCTATCCATTACAATATAAGAGAGGCTTGGTGAAATGTCTGTTTAAGAGGATTCAACGTATTTTTACGGCTGATGTTATAGACAAAAAAAACGAGATATTGATGGATACTCTTGTTGAAAAAGGATATTCTTTAAAAATTTTAAACAGGTGTAGAAGTCAATTAATCTCTAAACCTACAATCCATACCGCGACTAAGAAATGATTACCATATAACGGGGAAATAAACAGTAGGATTGTGAGACAAAGGTTGAATTCGATCATCCGTAGAACCTATTGAGCAGCCCAGCTTGTAATTGTCGAAAAAGCTAAAAATATGCTTCACTGCAAACCTCAAAAGTGCACAAGTGATTGTGTCACATCCCACACTATTTACCAATTTTCGTGTGTGTGTGGACATACATACATAGGGAGGAATAATCGTGCTTCGCATGTGAGGGTGGGGGACAGCGAGCATATCCCAAAATGGTTAGAAAAGCAAATGAATTGTGGTAAACCAACAGATGCATGTGTCAGACTACCAACTTCGTTTATAGCTAAACATCTAACCCAAAAGATTGATGTTAAATCAACCTTTAACGTCATCTACAAAAATGGTCAAGGGTGTTTACTGAAATACGCTGAGGCTATAGCTATTCATAAACTTAAGCCCCCCTTGTGTATTCAAAAACAGTTTATTATTACTCTTAACCCACCTTGGTAATCCTTATTTGATTGGTTTACCAAACGTTGTGTTAATCATCCTCAAATCTTTTTTTGTCACTTAGTTTAATTTAACTTTTTCATATATTTGAACAAGGCATTAAGACAAATTTCGCGAGATGATATCATTTCGTAGTTTCTTCACAACCGCTTTACAACTAACATGGTTAACAAGATTATAGGTTTCCAGACCGTAGGTGTTACGAATTTCCTGGAATAATTTGAGCGCCGAGTCAGATTGATTCATTATAAATTATTTAAATTAATCCCAGCGTGTTAAATCTTGTCTTGATTTTCTTAACACGCTGGGATTAGTTTTAAAAAATTTATAACAACATGGTTAACAATAATAAAATAAAGTTCATGAAAATTACTCAGTTAAATAAAAACAAAAGTACATACTAATGACCAATCATATGAAGATAGGTTATGCAGTCCAGGGTAGGCGAAGATTGAAGTCTATTGATTTTTGTTAGTTGTAAAGCGGTTGTAAAGAAACTACGAAATGATATCATCTCTCGAAATTTGTCTGCTTAATGCCTTGTTCAAATTTATCAAAGGGACTAATTGTTTTAATTTTTCATATATGTCGACTTGATAAAGTAAATGTATGAGGGATCAGATTATTCGAAATGTATAGCACAAATACATCGCATTTTTCAGATAATCTCCGTCTTCTAATAACGCTATCCAAATAAAGCTTCACTTATCAATCTTTTCCCCTCCATCCTACTACATTAAATTTTTAAGACTGCAATTTTATCCCATCTCATTGTTTGACTGTGTGTAACTGAATGTAGCGCTACAGTTGAGCTATTTTCTAGATTTCGTATCTTATCACAGTCAACTAGTGTTCAGATTTCACTAGGTTTTTGTGCTCCAATAATTTAGTTTACCCTATCCTACTACCACCTTGACCTAGGTATTTAAACTCATGATCATTTCAGGGTATTTGATAAACTGAATTACTCCGTTTAATAGGCTCTACATTGTCCCTTAAATGGTATCATTTGTTTTTAATTGAGTTTGTGGATTTGAAAACAACCTTTATTCCTGCTGCGCTAAGACTTCTATGTAGGACTTCAGAGGTTCCCAGCTTTTACAGAAAGCACTACTGATGTTTTAATTCCCCCTAGTGTTGGTTGGTGTTGCCGTCTTTCTGTGTATGTTTGTTATTCATATTCTACTTATTATAGAATTCAATAACAATATGTACAAAGCAAAAGCCTGACAATTACAAATGTACCTGAGCTGTTGTCACCAACCTAGAAAAACAAGAGACTTCAGTCAAAAAGCTTTAGGATTTATCAATTCCACTCAGGTAGTTTAAATTGACTGATACTGCTCAAGTTAGCATCCAGTTTGCATTCAATTACGTGGAATCTAGCTATGAGCTAAACATAATGTTTGAAGGGCTGATGATGCTACCCAGTTGTTCAGCCTGAAGTAGGTAGACCAGGAATGGAACTTAAGACTAACTGGTTGTAAATCGAGTGATTAAGCCAATGAGTCAGATATCTAAAATTAACCTTCAAGATCCACATAAATTGGTTTAATGGTTCGCTCTACAGATACAAAGGTTAAGAAACTAAATTTGGGTTTGCAAAGTGGTTTCTTAGGAAATACTCACAAATTTTTTACCTATATAGTAGTTACAAAAATCAGGAGCTCGCCAACATTTTTATGCTAGCCGATCTAAGGATATTTGCAACGTTCCTTGAGATCTTTCCTGTAATAAGTAGCATGTGATTTACACCTGACAGAATTGATATCGGACTTCATGAAGTGACAGAATAGTCAATGAATGACTGAACTTCGTACTAGAGTGCATCAATTTAAGTTGACGCATTTATTCAAATAACTCGAAGCAGACATATATATATATATATATATATATATATATATAAACTGATTGCACACTAGTCAGTAACCAGTGTAATGTGTGCGTGTCTAGTCTTATCGTCGATGAGGGCTGAATTCTATCAGTCAAGCTTGCAATATGGACACACCATGCCACTAGGTGGCTCACCATCACAGTGCAGTGTGAACTGTCGGTATTAGATGGTTGGAGGCAATCGGTCACAGGACGCATTCGACCGAGGTTTCGTGCCAGTTGGCACTCATCAGCAATGCGCATCTCCAACCTCGAAGGAACTCACTCAAGGTTGCAGATACGCCTTGCTGATGAGTGCCAACTGGCACGAAACCTCGGTCGAATGTGTCCTGTGGCCGATTGCCTCCAACCATCTAATATCAACAATATATATATATATATATACTATGCACGTCAAAAGGATAATTTAACTGTCTCATTAGTCCCATCACCGAATAAATTTGCAATGGAATTATACTCAAACACACTGTTCAAATTCTATTCTTATATATGTCTCATTAGTGAATTCCTAAATGTAATATTTATTTGCTAAAACATTGTAAATATGCAATCTTACCTACTTCAGATATATAGAATAGAATATCGTTTGTCCCAGGGAAGGAAATCACATCCGAGGATAAAAAGACACTATTATACATTGTATTTGAGTAAGGATCTCCGAAAGAAGTATCGTTTACACTTGAAAGATCCAGAGCCATTATCTTAATTAATATGCATTAACCTATAGAAAAAGAAAAATTTACAATCATCTCAGTCAACAAAACTTCTGACATGAACTAATATTAGGACTTAGTGGACAGATGTGGATCTGTTTGGCTGTTTTCAACATAGAACTTTGCACCGATGTACAGAAGTTCAAGTCACCACACTCCATGTAGCACACATAGCAAGAGAAGAGAGCAGAAGAAATGCAGAATAGACACCGTAGCCAGAAATATGAGACAAAAGGAATAGTAATGATGAAGAACAATATAGTTTCATTGGAAATTATAAGTCACAAGGAGTGGATGCATCTACTCTGTCCATAAGAGCAATTTTGAGCCATATCATCAAATGTCTCCAGCCTTAATTGGGTTTTACCGTCCCGATGACCCCAACCAGAAAGCCAATCTACACCTTCCTACATGGCTGGCTGGCTTAAACTAACTGTTGTGGATTTCATTGACTGGTGCCACGTTTTGGTTTGACCGCCACTAGCTCTTTTTCAACCTGATCCATACTACGTCAGCTAATATTGCCTATTGTCGAAGAAGGCGATCGATGGCTAGCGGTGCACACGTAACACATGTCCTAACCATCTCAGTCGATGTAATTTCACAGCCTCGTCGATTGATTTCCCCTCCTTACTTAGCACTCGACGCCTAACCTCAATATTGCTCACCCTACTATACCACTTCACACGGGAGATAAAACGCAGGCACCTATGATTGAAGACAGCTAGTCTTTTCATGTCTTCCAAAATATGTGGATAACATTTAGCTAGTTGAAAATCAGTTAAATTAGGAGCTTTTTGATATTAAACTACAATTTTAACTAAAACAACAACAAAGGCATGTACAGAACAAAAAGAGGCTGACATTTTTCATTTCATAATTTCCCGCAGTTTATAACAGCCTAAAAATCAGATGCTGTTATAAATGTAAATAAGTAGCATCAAAATTGTCTCTTAATGAAACCGAAGCACAAATAATAGTGAAAGCAACTATCTGACATACTAATTAATTTCACTGACGACGACTATTCGAATAGTCGATACTCGTCAGCCATCTAGTAGGCTAGTTACTGCTTTTGCTTTGACCTAACTATACTCATAAAAGCATTTTGAATAGATCAATGAAATCCTGATAATTTGTATTTCTTATGCAATAATTAGACGATATTCTAGTGAATATCTGTTGACAATAAATTGTCATTGTTGGAATACGAAAAATACTTACCATATCTATTTATTTAAACGCAAAAAAAACTTGGTATAATATGGCACCAAGAAAGATGCGCCACACAATAATAATCCTACAATATAGGTCAAAAGTAAAAAATATGAGTAGAGAACGGATAAAGAACTTCATCTGGAAGGAAAACAGTCATACTTGACAAGTTCAAACAGTATTCGTTAACTATCAACAGGAAGGGAAGAATGAAGGAAAATGCAGCACGTTCTCCATTGATTACGATTCTTGACCATATCTGATAACGTTTCAAGCCATCGATTCGAGCTATCTCGCGGACCCCAACCAGGGAGTCGTGACCCACCAACATCCTTCATCCCACTACGCCACATCATGGATGATCACCCCTTCGTCTTTTCCATCCCATCCCAGCTCTGGCTAGCAAACAGAGACCTGTACGGAAGCCTCTGGGATGACATTCGCAACACATATCCAAGCGACCGAAGCCGGTATTTCCAGATGACGACACTCAATGAATGGTGATCTCCACTGTCTTCAAACACACGCCGCCGAACCTCAGAATTACTCACGCGATGATGCCATCGGACGCAAGCAATCCTGCGGAGACAGCGACGAACGAACACGCAAAGTCGCCGCACATCCTCAGCTCGGACAGGCCAGGATACTTACCACAACAGAAATGTGTATAAACGAATCACTCACGGATTCTGATAGGAATATAGGCAGTGTCACTACTTAATAATGATGATATTACAGTCGATGAAAAAGAATTTGAAATAAGGGAGAGTACACAAAATTAGTATTTTTAATATATTTATGCGGTGAAGTTTCTGCAGCAATTTGGTTAACTTTTAGGGGTGGAGTTGCTAGCACCATGCCCCAACCCTTCCTATTTATCCGGGCTTGG